GTATGACATTTAGTTTCTGAATTCAGACTGCGAAACTCCCTTCATTTTGCTCGCGGACTCCTCTTATTGAGGGCAGGCGAGTCCGTGTGGACTCCCGTTTGTTCAAAAGTTCATGGTTCTACCCCTGCTTATACTTGAATTATATGGGGGAATTTGACAGGGGAATCACTCACTCTGTGCTGGAAGAAGTTTGGGTCGAGGTACTTGTCGAATCGATCCTCGAATTTCGCCTTCGACGCCTTCCAGTGAACCTGTAACGTTCAACGACACGTGAGCGTTCACTTGTTCCGAATAAAAAAGTCAACATGACGTATTCGAAATGATGAACCACCTCTCCATCTCTTCCTCTTACTTCCACCGTTCACTCCTCCCTCTTTCCCCTCCCTCCTCCTCCCTCTCATCCGCTCCTCCTTCTACACTCCCTTCTCTTCTCGTCGCTTCTTCTACCTCATCCTCCTCCTCAAGCAACCTCCTCTCCATCCTCCACCTACTCCGTTACTCCCCCTCGTAGTGGGACCTTAGAATCGTGGCATCCTTTCTCCCTCTCCTTCCCCTCCTCCTCCTCCTTCTCCCTCGTCCTTCCCTCCTCCTCCTCCTACCCCTCCCCCCCCCCCTCCTCCTCCTCCCCTCTTCCCTCGTACCTCGTATGTGAAGCGATCGTTGTGTCCGTCTCCAGCGTGACCTTGGCCTCGCTGGTAGGTTCATCGTCAACTATCTGAGTCCCCGCTGCTAGCCGATTTCAGGTCTTGTGATGTCCAGATGTAGTACGCGTCGTCGTCGTCGCTGCGGCGTCTCCCGACGATTCCTGCCGACAACGGCGAGTCATACGGTCACGTTAAATTGTTTTTATTGGGGGGTATCGGGATTTGTGCACGACCGCGCGCAGGTCTTGCAAACGCGCGCGCACGAATGAAACTCGCGAGAAGTCGATGCCATTTACTTAAGGACTCCGGTTAATTACGGACGTGAACGTGAGTCTGATATCTGGCCGAGTCAATTCGAACTTGCTTCGTCTCATCTCTTGCGACGAACGACGCTATGCCGAACGCGCAGCACTCGCACGCCGCACGCACGAACGCTCGCCACCACGCATCACACGCGCGCACCTCGCACCACGCACGAACGCTCGCACCACACGCATGGCACGACGAGGCAGACACGTCGCACGGATGCACAAACGCGCGCACGCGCGGAACGCCACGAGCACACACAGCACAGCACGCACACACCGTTGCGGCACACTCACCCCACCAGACGGAGCAGGTATACGCTATGTATCATCTGGTACCAGTAGTGGTTCCTCACGGCGTACGTCGAACGGCATTCAGCTTGTCCTCAGATTGAGAGTCAACGCTGCATACTTCGTCTTCGGAAATGTAGCTTTCAACGCAAATGCTGAGAATGATCCGAGGAAGTATCGAGAGACAACACAGAACAGATGTAGTTTGTCGGAAAAAAGCTGCACGCGCCACCAGATCCTCCCTCAAACTAATCCACTTAATTACAAATTAAACTTAATCTTATTAACGAACCAAGCGGTCGCCGACGACGTCTCGAATGACGAATTCACCCGTGCGCGATCGAATTTTTCAAAATCAAATTTCGGTAATGCACTGATCAAAATATTAGGATGATGGCAATAAGGGTTAGAGACCAAATAAAAATGCGTGGTGCGCGGAATGAACAAGCCAGCACGCGAATGCCAGCTGTAACTACAGTTGTCACGACGGTGCATTCGTTGCAGCGGAACGATGCCAAACAAGACGCGAGATGGGAATGTTAGAATGATCTCACACTCACTGTTACCCAAAGAGACGCAGATCAAAAACGAAATGTTTGACATTCGAGCTGAGCAAAACACTTTCTAGTCTAATTAACTGTTCCTGCCCTGATATACTACCTGCCTGGTCTGTCTGCCTACTACACTACCTATCTAACTCATACAGCTATGTTTATCTGCAATTGACAAAGCCTCCGACAAACAATGCCATCAATAAGCCAGACGATTAAACGGGAATAGACAGATCTGAATACATCCAGTCACACGGCCATACATAGTGCCGATTACAACATACTAGCGCCTCGCCTACCACCGGGTACACTTCCGCGGGAGACACCTAAAACTAACATAATAGATTTTAAATTACGTCGCTTACCTCCGAGTAACTTAAGTTAAACGACAGTGCCTAGTGGTAACCCTCAACGCGAGCGTGGCGCGATAACACGCGATCAGATCGAGAGACGACGGCGACCTTTGATCTACGTCGGACCGCTGAACTCGAGCTCCACTCCTGCAAGTGCCTCGTCCGTAGCCGTGCTTGGTAGTGACCTGATAGGCGTGTTTCTGAGTCCGGACGCAGAACGGCAAGAGAGAAAGTAAGCGTACGTCTCCGTGTCTGTATGTTGGTACGGCGACCGTATGATCCCACAGCCCACCGTCCCGTCCCTGTCCGCTGTGCTATAGACGGAGGAAGGCGGGAGAAAATCTAACCACAATAGAGGGGAGGCGAGGAGAGAGACAGCAGCAGAAACAGATAGAAGAGGGGGGGGGGGAGACAATATTAAACAAATATCGACAGGACGAGAAAGAGAAAGAGAGAGATAGAGAGAAGCGACAACAGCAGTAAGAACGCGAGAGAGAAGAGATCATAGGCAAAAAAGCGAAAGAGAGAGATTAGAGAGCAAAGCAGAGAAAGCAGCTGAGAGTGAGAAGCGACAAGAGTAAGAACAAAGAGAAAGATGTAAGAAAGCAGCAGCGCTTATGGCGTGACACACTAAGGATCCCTAGTGCGGTATTAATACTCACATCTCGATGAAGATGGAACCGAAGGGGAGAACACCACCCATCATGACGATGATGTATGGCTCCATGTACCTGCAAGACAAACCATCATAGTTAACAACAAACCACGACCTAATCGCGTTAACAAATAACAAATAAAAAACAAATCATCAACAAATCAAAATAAAAAACAAATCATTAACAAAACACAACCCAGCAACGCAATTAAATCACGGCTCTGATGTAACTGTTGGGAAATATCATGTATAACCGTATAGCATAATGCATAATTGTATGAATATGTACTCTTGATGATTGTAGACTGTGAATGTGTAGATATGAATGATGTGTAAGAAAGTCTTGGAGAATCGGTTCGGCGCGGCGGCGGCGCCGGCTGGGGAGCGATGACGTGTAGGGGGAGTGAGTTTTTATAGATGTTTATGATAATGGCTACATTGTGTGTGGGTTCGGGTTTCGCAGCGGAGAGAGAGTGGTACGGGGAACGCAAGATAGGGAAGGGGGATTAGAAAAGAGTGTTGACGGAGAAGGTTGTAGGGAGTGTTAATGCAAGGAAAGTAGAGTGACTCAGACTGTACGGAGTGTGTATACTAAATAAACCAATGAGTGATATATTTATATTTAGAGTGTTTTGTTCAGTATCAATGATAGAGTGTGCGATAGAACATAGATGATGGAACCGGCACAGGCGAGATTAAGATTTCGCAACAGTAACGAAGGCACGGCTCAAAACTCTAAAATGCCATCAAGAAAAAGAACCGCCAAAAATCTAAAAAATCGCGACCGCAACGACCGCTCTATCGTGGTGACCGACGTCGTGCGACGCGACAAGTGAGCGTCCCTCCGCCCTCCGCCCGCCCGACCTACCACTTCTTCTCGGGGATGGGTCGCGGCACTGCGTTGATGCGGCAGGGGTAGTTGGGCTGGCCTGCGAGGTTGCGGCCGAGCACGGTCCCGACGAGGGTCAGCGGCAGTATCACAAACAGACAGATGCAAGTGACGGCGATCTACAAACACACAGAGAGAGCAGTGACAGCAGTGGAAAAAATACACGGGGGCTCGGGGCGATATAGCCCCCTGAAATGCCAAAAAGAACCCCCGGAAATTTGCATAGAGTTCAATGCAAACCAAATTTTAGAGTGCTATTTTCATGCACGCGAGCTTGAAAAGTAGCCCCCGAAAGTTTTTTTTAAATTTTTCCCCTGAGTGACAGGTAGGTGGCACCACCGGCGACGTCGATTGTTCGCGGAGACGCGCCGCGGTCGATCGAAATCAAATTCCGATACGTCACTGCGTAAATTACGCATTGATGCGAGGTGATACACGAGCAAGATGCAGAAACGTCATCGTAGATATTTATCAGAACCCAATATTAGCAGAATATCTCTATACGATAGACCGAAACGGTGAGTGTGTAAGTTGACATAACTTTACCATAGGCTACATAACGAAACAGAAACAAAAATCGCTGTGTCATCGTCCACATCTTCGTTACTCTTGCACGCGATTTGCCACGAGCAAAAGTCATCTAATTAAGCATCTTTTACGTTTATATAGCTCCCCGTTGTCTGACAGTGAAGACGACAGCGACACCTCAGCCTGAGTGTTCGTACTCCTCTTCGTGGTACGTGTGGTATTCGTGGCGACTTACAGACTTACCATGGTGGTGAAGGGGATGGCTCGTGACGCGTGATAGTAGATGGCGATGAAGTTGATGAGGAACACAGTGCCGCAGACAAGCGAGGGAAGAACGAACGCACTCAGCATCATCTGCTTGATCCAACGCTTACCTGCAGCAAAGACACAACGATGGATTAGATAGAGAGCATCCGATCAAACAACGGTCCACGCGCAACAAGACAGACGAAACGACGAAGTAGACCATCTAGTATCAGTATCTCAGTATATTAGTATCAATTCGAACTACGGTCCACCCTGCCAACGTTTATTTATTCATTTACTTGTCTGACTTTATCCATTACTTCATTCCATTATCCATTTACCTCTCATTTATTCACTTAATGAATCCAGCTGGCAAAAGTGGAACCTTGAGCATGAAGCTCCTTACAATTTACGACAGCTAAGATAGAGATTATTCGCTCCGACAACGATTCACATGCAAACACGTTTATTTATCCATTTACTTTTTTTTGTTTACTTAATGACAGTACACTGAATTCGCCACATTTGACTACAGAAGGCTATTGTGCTCTTCGAGTAACATCAGATTATGCAAATTTTTCTGGGGCAATTTTTCTGGGGCACGCATTTATTGGTATAAAGTGTGTTTACTGGAGCAGTAAGTGCGTGTAATGCTACTCACCTCCCATCCTCGAATATAGACTGCCGCCAAAGTATCCGTTGATGGGGGACGTCGCCGCGTAGACGAAGATCGCCGTGCTCAGCAGCGAACCCCGCCTGCGACAAAACAAGAGAACGTTCGATTATCACCACGTCAGAGACGTCCGAACTTCCGTCCAAAATTCGCTTGCATTACATCTCGGCGCGCATTGCATGGCAACAGCGACGCCACCTACAGGTAACTAGAGGAAGCGGAAGCCGGCGGACGAAACCCATTCCCTCGCCGTGCACCGAGATTGCATGCGAGACTGCGGCAGCGCCACCCGGTGACGGCACGAGCAAACAAGAGAACACTCACTCGGTGTACAGTTCCCCGACGATCTCGAAGCAGATGACGCAGAGTGCGACTAGCGACACCTGGTAGCCGGCTCCGACAAGAGCGGAGAACAACAGAGGGTTCGTCGCTGGCCGGAACACGTCACCGTGAACCTGCTTCCATCCGTACTCGTCCCCGAGGTCACGTTCCTGCAATGAACAACCGGAACATGAGAAGATCGCAAGCGAAAACCGGGACACCAGAATGAGATCGCACGCGAACAAACGTTAAATGATCACACGCGAACAACCAGAACATGAAAAGATCGCACGTGAACAACGAGAACATGAGATCCCACGCAATAAATGGGAACACGTGAAGATCGCACGTGAACAACGAGAACATGAGATCTCCATGAACGTGTACGACGTTGAGTAGATTGCATAGACCTCCTTTCTCCCTCACCCCCTGACCTCCTCCCTCATCGGCCTGATCTCCCTCCCTCACCGCACCGCCTGCCCCCCTCAACCCTCCCTCCCTCCCCCTGACCTCCTCCCTCCCTCCATTTGACCTCCTCCGGCTCTGTGCCAGTTTGACGTACCATGTCATCAGCTCCTCATCCTTGCTGGTAGCGAGCGTAGTCCTGCCCCTCTGCTCTCCTCGGCTAGCCTCCCTCCTCCCTCCCTGCCCCCCTGACCTCCTCCCTCACGCTCCGACCCTGACCTCCTCCCTCACCGCCCCTCCTCACGCCCCCTGACCTCTCCCTCACCCTCCCTCCCCCCTGACCTCCTCCCTCCCTGACCTCCTCCTCCCTCTCTTGACCCCTACCCTCGGCCAGCGTGACGTACCATGTCGTTCTGCTCCTCATCCTTGCTGTAGCGAGCGTAGTCCATTGCGTAGCGTGCGCATCAGGATCATGCTAAACGAGTCGCAACGAGGAAGCTGACCATCATGAACGAGTTAAAGATCGAGGCAACCAGTGGATCTGTGGAGAGAAGAGATGGTTTGTTACTAAACTAAAGGTGAGAGAGAGAGAGAGAGAGAGACGAAGAACGGAGATGGAGAGGGAAGAGAGAAGAGAGAGAAAGCAAACACAAGAGGCGAGCGAGAGAAGAGAGAGACGAGAGAGAAGAGAGAGAGAGAGAGAACAAACAATATATTCGATAGTCAACACAGCTATGATCAGACGGCGGCTGCTGAATAATCCTGGC